GATCGAACCTTTGTATTTTTTTTTGGTTGCACAAATCGCGTTAACGCAATTTAGCCAATTTCGCGGGACGAATTTTTTAAATTTTATTTACATTTTATGTATTGTTTTTTTGCACTGCATGTCGTTGTCGTTTTTAAGGCATTTCTGTCGAGATAAGCGATGGCTTTGGGCACCAGGAACGTAACTGCCCCATTTTGTGAGGCTCGCTGATCCGGTTTTAATGATTAATGAAACGACGTTAAATATTTAGCATACGACAAGATTGTGTGTCCCCAGTTCTCTGCATCAGACATTGCCAATTTCTGCCAACCGCTGCACGACAAGGCGGCGAAGCTCGACGAACAAGACAAGGTGATATGACGTGGTTTTCTTCTGACGTAGTTCAGGTGCTGATTGACAACCTTGTTTTAGAAAAACCGCCTCCTACGACTTGTGCAGCTGATAGATTTGACCAGTCTTGGCGGTGATGACACCCCGGCAAAAATTCGCGATCTCGTCGACAAAGCGGTCAATCCATTGCCAGCCGATGTTGCAGCTAAACTCGAGACTAAAGGTGACGATTCTTGGCAGGAAAATTGAAACATTATTGCATTGACAACAAGTGATTTCAGACGTGCACTGCGCAGCGGTCTGTTTGTATCCTGCCCGTGTCTGCGATGCCGTGTCGTACATCAAGGAAAAATATGCGGATCACGTCGGACACCTTCATATTTCATCAGGTCAGGTGACTACTGAGTATTTTGTTCTTGTGTTGGTCATCATGCTGGAAACAACACAAAATGCGGAAATGGTGTATTTGTGCACAAAGCATACAATCTGGTAACGGTTGGTGTCAGTACTGCCCGTTTCTCACGCACATTCTTCGACTCGTTTTAGCTTTTGGAGTTTTTACTGTCCTTAACAGCGGTTGTAACGTGTGTAGCCAGAATGCGAGCTTTTGGTCCATTCTTCTGTCCAATCCGCGTAGACTTCGTAGCCTTTGTACCGATTAATGTTGCTACTGGACTGGAGGACTAATATCTTCTTAGCGCTCCTGTTCAGCTGGTGTTTTTTTTATGGTGCCGATGTAATTTGGCCATCAGCGAGCATGAGTTTTCTGTACGCTGCATGCTGCACAGTCCCGTACTTCTTTTTTCTCATGGTTTTTTGACTGTGGACGAGCTTTATTGTTTTCTTCCCTCGTGCTCCGTTACCACTTGCCGTTCACTCTTCTTTCCAGTCATCTGTCTTCTCTAGCTTGACAATTGGGTCTGTGTTGTTTGTATGATGTTCACTGTTTCATTTGATTTCGTGATTTTGAAACTTCATTTCGATTCTTCCCTACGAAATCGTTAATCTTCTGACTTTCCGTTTCAGTTGTTTTTGGGGCGTAAAACCAAAGGACGGCCATGGCGGAGTTTTGTTGCGCATCCTATGTTACATAATTTTTAGATTTTCAGCTATGCAATAGCAGATTTTTTCTGGACAGAAAATTAGCAACAAGAGTGTCAGTATATAGAGAGACTCGCCCAAATTCAATTATCAGCTACAGTAAACCTAAGCTTTAACTATACAACCATCTCAGAGTTTGCTGTTCTCAGTTGATATGTGCAACGATTCTTTGAGCACTAACATTGTTTTGTCATCTGCGTGGTCAAAAACAAACGTTTCCTTCTTCAGTATCGTGGCCATGTTTTGGGTCATGGGTAACGTTCGAATTGGTGAACACAGACGAGCTATCGCGAACAATCATCCATAATTCTCTGGTTTCGTTACTAGCTGTAAATGTATTTTTATAAATCGGCGAGACACTTCTAACTGATAAGACAGAAGCAGAGGTCAGTCCCATTTGAAGCCATATTACAGGTTCTTGCCTTTGATGGGATCGCTATGATACGGACTGCGGCGCCTTTCGGTTTCTGAAGCCTGCTCCTCAAGTAGCATTATCACATAACCTAATCTAGACATCATACTGCCTCACGTTTTGCAGCCATTAACCTGCTGGCTATTTTATTGAGCTGATTGCATCGGACGGCATTGTATAGAACAGCCTTAGCATAGGGCTTTTGCTCAAACAACGTTTAATAGATTGAACCATAGCATTTCGTGCAGCATGTAAGGCATGAAAACAAAATACTACTATACTAGTTAAATCAATTTTTTGCTGCATTGGAGTAATACTGGTTTCCTTATCAGTGCCCCAAACCATGCGATATTTACTGTGCATGTTTATTCGAAACGTAATTACGCGCGAGAAGTACGAAAATAGTATTTTTCATTTGGTACTGGTCATTACCTTAGCTTGAAATTTGTGAAGGCTGTCTGTAACCACCTGCTTATCCTACTTCAGCCATAGCTGATGCATTAGCGAATGACTGGTCATAGTCTTATCGAAACGGTCATCGTTGAAAAGCAAGTCTAAAAGTAGGGATGCGCAGCTTACGTTTTTTGTTTCGTATGTAGTTAAGTTCAGTTCGTTTTTAGTTGCCGGTGGATTCCCTTCGGGACAATACAAACTGGTCACCAGACTGCAGGAAGCGACTCTGGCTATTGCCGATGGCGCAGACGAACTTGACGTTGTCATCAACCGCGCTGCTGCATTGCAAGGAGACTGGGAGAGTAAGGCGCCTTCGATTTGGTGTTTTGCTATAAAAATTAATTTCTCATATTAATGCTAATTTTCGTTCCCTTCGATTTGTATTTTCATAAAGAGTCGGTATATTCTAGCGGTCTACAACGAACTGTCGCAAATGCGAGCTGTTTGTTCAGAAACGGTGCATTTGAAAACTATTTTGGCGACAGGTGAACTGAAGAACGTTGAAAACATCTACAAAGCTAGCATGTCAGCGATGCTTGCAGGTAACATCAAATCTGTGTACGAATAATTCACTAATTATTCATCGCTCTCAGGTGCTGATTTCATCAAAACATCGACCGGAAAGGAAGTCATCAACGCGACCCTTCAGTCTGCTTGGGTGATGTGCAGCGCCATAAAAGACTTTCACAAATCGACTGGAATTCAAGTATAGCGAATGAAACGTGCATTTGTGTTCATTGTAAAACTGTATTATGTTCAGGTTGGTTTCAAGCCCGCGGGTGGTATTCGTTCTGTCGATGAAGCATTGTCATATATGCTTCTCGTCGAGGAACTGCTGGGAAAAGAATGGATTTGTCCTGAACTGTTCAGAATAGGAGCCAGTAGTCTTTTGAATAACGTTGTGAAGTTGTTAGCATAAAATGTTCATTAAAATTGTGATTGATGTTTGATATTATTCATTCGTTGCCTTACCATTCAAAAAGATGATGCATATTATCTATTGTAGTAAAGTTACGTTACGCAGATTAGAATATCGTTAGCTTGGAAAGTCTATTAGCATTTGTCATTTTATTATTAAGTTATTTAGCAACCTTTGCAATTTATATGGTTTTTGTTGTATCTCGCTTTAAAATACGCTTCTACACCAAAATATAACAGAAATTTACTATGTACTGATAAATTTATGAATGGTATGTCATGGTTGTTTGGGAATTGCGCCAAAGGTTGCGGCGCTGAAACATATGATGGCCGTGGAAGCGGTAGCAGGGTCGTAATTTTCGGTTTCCTTCAGGAATTCACCCCTTGTGGTTCAAGGCAATCGGTCAAGAATGGAGCAATAAGTGTTACCCCACTATCCATAAGAGTAGCATGAAATTTTTGTGTGGTCATGTCAGAGTGTGCGGGGATTATGATTATGCTGTCTCCTAAGTGCGCCTCATGGCATCAATTTTCCTCGTTCTATTTGATAGTCAAGTCAACTCAAGTATACCCATAATTCCATTGAGTCGTGGCCTGCTTAAGCGGTACCTTGGTTGGTTGTAAAGAAAGTTGTGCGACTAGACAGTTTAAGTCTGAAGAAGTGACAGAAGAGTGTTATTCTTGCTAGCCGTATCGAAAACTAACGCTTCACTAGTCATCCCAGATTGCCGAAGTTGATGTTATGTATATAACTCAAATTTTAAAAGGTTTAAAATACGATTGACGATATTGCACGGTTCGACATTCTGCTAGAAAGTAGTAGTTATCTGCATTTTATTTAAGCAGCAGAATAGTTTTTAAATTTGATTAGCGCACAATATTAACTTGTACTTCTATCTACTCAAATTTTCCTGTTTATTTATATCTTGCAACGTATTTATTCTCTTATTATGTTGAACGATCTTAAAACTTGATACTGCTTGCAGTGCTGTCCTATGACACTTTTACTTATATAAAATTTATACGGGAGAAATTCTTGATAGTAATACAACAGTAATTACGTACATTATCCAAAATTCTTAAAACAAGCTTCAACTGTACCAGAAATTTAAATTTCTGTCGGCTCCTCAGTTTAACGGTA